TTGATTTCAGAATAACCAAGGAAAAAGCTAATATTCTTCCTTTCAAGTGAATGGTAGAATAATCGATGTGATTTAGTGTGGTTTTTTTTTCTCTTTTACTAGGTAGTGTGGTACAGTGGAGAATACTGGTTCTGGAACCAGAAGACCTGGGTTCAAATTCTACTTGTGACATTTAGTATCTATGTGGCCTTGGGCAAGTTACTGAAGTTCTCTTCTGGGCTTCACTGTCCTCAACTATAAAATGAAAAGGTTAGATTAAATTACCTCTGAAGTTTCTTTTAGCTTTAAATCTAGGGTCCTTTTTGGGGAAACTTTTGGCATGAATTTAACTATTCCCTAGGTCAAGGGATGGCAAATTACAGCCTCTGGGTAAAATCTAATCATATGTGTGTATCTACACAATACTTACATGCATTTATATGCATGTATGTATTTATATACATATGTATTATTGTATATATGTGTGTTTATATATACAGATATAGATAGATGTAGATTATATATATAGTTTGTCAACCCTTGCCTTTGGTAATAATACAATAGCTAATGTTTCTGTAGCATTTTGAGGCTTGCAAAGCACTTTTCATTTGCTGTCTTCCTTTGATCTTTACAATAGGCCTATGAGGTGGTTATTACAGATATTATGGTAATTTTACAGCTAAGGAAACTGAGGCTTAGATTTTGGGATTTGTCCATGATCACATAATTAGGAAGTGTCAGGAATGAGATTTTAACCCAAATCTTCCTAAGTCTGTCATCAAGTCTGTCACTCATTCCAGGCTTTTCCAGGAGGGAGACACACACATACACACACACACACACACACACACACACAGAGTGAGAGAGAGAGAGAGAGAGAGATTGATTGATTGATTGATTGATTGATTTAGTATAGCTTCACACCTATGGGGCTATTTAACCAGAGGTGGATCTTCGTCTTTGTTGTGGTCTGCTCATAGCAAACCCTCAGAAAGCAATAAAAGCCAGCTTATCTTTATTTGGAGATAAAAAATTATTATAAATGTACAGGCATCAAATAAACACATTTTAAGGGTAAGCAATGCCAGTACACCAGACTGGATGAAGTGCGGGAGGGGGAAGAAATGAAGAGGGAGCAAATTCACCACATCCCAGTAACAGCAAGACAGCAAAATTCTGTCCCTGCATATTATTCCTTCAGTGGTTCAGTGAGTCAAACATGACTTTACCTGCTCTTGATTATATTCAATTCAGGGTAGCAGCACTTATTACTTTGAATCAGCTGGCCACTGGCATTGGCATGCTCCTGTACCACTTGGCTCCTCACTCCCTGGCTCCTCCCTTCTCTACCCAGCTCCAAAATTATCCTCCTTCAGTCCTTCCTTCCAGCTTTAGGACTTCCCCATGGATAAATTAACTAGGCAGTTGGTGATAAGTGATACACTGGGACACAGGGTAGGGAGAAATTAAAGAGGTTATTTTAATAATGAAAACTCATAAATCAGACTTGGGACACCCCTTCAGTCAATCAATTAACACATTTATTGAACCTTCATGTTTTAAAGCCACTATATTAGCCCTTGTGTATGGGGGGGTATGAATGTGGGTGTGTGGGAACAGGAACCACAATCATTTTACAACATCTTGATTGACTAAAAATGTAGAAATCCCCAAACCATCTCATGGCCTAATATTAAAAGCTCCCTAACCTCTATGCAAGGACATGATAAAGCTGATTGTCTCATCCACTATTATAACAATTACTTGCTGTCATTGGATAAAACATCCTGCAGTTTTGTCTAGAAAGGACTTCTTTCATATTTATAAAAGTATTTGGTCACTTCTCTTATCTTTTGCCCCTGAACAGTGAATGCTTTCTTATTCTGATAATAAACCCAACAGTTGCATACGACTGTCCTTTTTCCCCTTGGTTGAACCCCCACTTTCTCTATCCCTCTTTTTCCAATGAAATGCTTTCCTTATATATCCTCAATGACTGCAAAGTGCTGCTGATTGGCTGTGTATTAGAAGCAAGGCCTGAAAGGTTATAAAAATGAAAATCTATGCTCTAGGGAGATGGAGCTGCTATCAGCATGATATCAGTCTTCCTTAGCATGCTAGTAAATATTTTTACTTTCAGTTTGACCTCCTCTCTTTGACTCACAGTCTTTGGATCCTTGTTGATAGATATTCTTCTCCCAAGAGGTTCCATTTCTCTCAATGAAGATAATACCCCAATGAGGGGGATGGTATAGAAATAAGTATTTGACAGGATCCCTTCCCTCAAAGAACTTGCCATCTACTTGGAGAGACAAGACATGTGAAAAGTTAACTAAGGATAAAAAGGGGTACTAGCCCTACAGTAAGTGCCAGATGTGCCATACTAAGACTGGATTAGGAATGTGTCAGAGGCTTATAACATTTATTACTAGGTGAGAGAATGAGGAGAATTCAAACATTTTGTTAAAATTTTTTTTGAGAGGACAAATTTGCTTTTGTCATTGTAATCAACCCTTGGCCTAGTGACTTCAAGCTTTGTGTTTAAATGGTTGGGGTGGGGTTCAGCACTGGGGGACTTTGGATTGTGTGCCCCCTGGGATTTCAGCTGGGTATAAGAAAATACAAATCATGTTGAGACTTCTACAGATATGAGTTGAAAGGTTTCTCAACTGCCAAGTGAGTACTCAACCAACAATATGTTGGAAATAAGACAGCTTTCATTTCACCTGCCAGAAAATGCAAAAATTCTACAAAGAACTCATAGGAATCCATAAAATTACCTCAGTGTGATAACAATGGGTACATTCATGCCTTAGGGATATTTTTTTTTAAGAGCAAAGATCTTTAACCTTATCAGTCCTGACTAGGAATCCTCCTGGTCATACCCTCTCCACCATGATAAAATATTCTAAAAATATTAAAGTATTCTAAATATAAATTAATATTTTAATATTAAAGCATTCCAAATATTAATTAACATTCTAATATTAAAGTATTCTAAAATATTAAATAACAGTCCAATCCATCAGATCTCTTGGGGGAAATTGTCTCCCAAGCTTTCTGAGAAAAATGGAATTTTTTTAAAAATTAAAAATGATTTAAAAAATTACCAGAAACACAATACACACTTGCAAGGAATTCAGATATACACATATGGCCTTTCATAAATGCCTAGATCTAAAAATCTTTTTTTTTAAATTAACTTAAAAACTTCTAATAGGTTCATCTTCCCACTGGGGAATTTGGGGACTCCATACATGTTTAGCCTTTTTTGCTGTACTGTGGGTTGCCTTAGGTAAAAAAATCACTTTTCCTTTCATTTATACTCTTCCTTCTGTGTAACCTTAAACAAAATCACTCCATTTCTACCACATTTGGCCAGCCATCTTGCTCATTTTTTCTTTCTTTTTTTGTTGTGATTCATTTTTCTACTCTTTCTTTAAGGTCCCTGCCAGCCTGCCAGACCTGTGATTTCACTGATGTGGGCACCTGCTGTGACCCCTTCTCTCTCCTCCTTATTTCTGCTTTGCTCCGGCCTTCAGGAGGCTAGAACAGATCAGTAACCCAGAGATCTTTTGGTTATTGAGACAACTAGTATGTCTCATTTAAGCCTGTAGATGGCAATTGTAGACTGCAGTCTGAGCAAGATAAGTGAAGACTAAATTTTCTTGTATTTTTTGGTGGCTTGAAGCTAGCTCCTGATGGAACAATGATGTACTGTCAGGAAAGAAATGTTGGCATTAAATAAAGAATAAGATATAGACTTTATTAAACAAACATCTGTTTATAGTGACACTGCCAGTCTGTACAGTGTTCTTAAGTGGGTGCGAAACAAATTTTAAGAATGTGGTTCTTCTGTTTTCCCTCATGTGTTTTCTTTTTCATTGGCAGGCCAGCTTGTTTATGTTTGAATTAATCTCTTGTCAATTTTGGATCTAAAAACAAAAGTTGAGCTACTGACTATTCTGACATAAAACCTGCAGCAGAATGAGGAAAAAATAAACAAAAGCAAAAAAAAAAAAAAAAAAAAAAACCCAAACCTGACCTGGAATCTTGATGAGATGGACCTTATTTAGTTTGCTTAACTGAGTTCTGGGTTCAAGTTATGCTGTTAACACATAATTGTGTTAGACATTGGACAAGTCTCTCTAAAAGACTACAGGTTACAGAGATGTTAGTGATCTGCATTGATAGAGTGAATGCCTGCATGGAGAATTATCCACACCAGGGAAATCACAGGTCCTGGTACTATTGATTTAGAGATCATATATTTAGAGATTGTAGATTTGGATCATAGATTTAGATGTCGTAGATCTACACCTGCAAATGAGCTTAAGCCTATGAAGTCCAACCCTCTCATTTTAGAAATAAGGAAGCTGAACACAGAGTAGTTAAATTACTTGCTCAGGATCACACAGCAAGGAAATATCTGAAGCAGAATTTGAATCCAGGTCTGCCTTATTCCAAATACTACACCCAAAAATATTTCGTGGAGCTATTTTGTTTCATGATTTCTAGAGTCAGTGGTATATACCTTTCCTAAAACTAACCTACTATAGAAGTGGGATTGTGTGTAGGCAGACTATCCAGTTAATGAGGAAAAATTGACTCAAGATGGTATTCAAAGGGAATAGAAATAGCAAAATGTGGGCAACATGAATACCCTGATAAAGAGGGAGTGAGAGGTGAGAGGATTCTTCTGCTGTGAGTAGTGATGGAAAACTCTGTACTAGGAGTAGGATTCTAAGATGTTTGGTGGTCAATTTCTACAAAAGAGAAAGCTTTTTTTGGTGATTTGATATGTAGGAATGGTCAGGACTTAAAAACTGTTGAGGATAACCATTTTAGCACAGAGCTGTCTTTAGGAAAACCAGAATAGATATTTGTTTGAGATCAATCAATCAGAACAACTAACCAGTATTGATTGAGCACCTACTATGCATGACATTGTCCTAGGACTTATGGGAATTACAAGTCAATCAATTTACAAGTATTTATTAAATGTCTACTATGTGCTCAGCATGGTGGGGAAGACAAAAATTAAGTGTCCTGACTCAGGGCAGGTAAGCAAGGGCAGGAGATTAATAGATAGGGGATAGTTGTCTGGAGTAAGTATGAATCTATATTAAATGTTCTATGGGGCACATGTTTCTGATGTCAAGGGTATATTAGGAAACTGTCCTTGGTGACTGCCTTGATTGACTCCATAAATGAAACAGATTTGACTACCTCACTTCCCAACCTGAAAGTCATCAATGGCTCCTTATTGATGTCCTGCCTCTAAGATAAAATACAAAATCATCAGCTTGACATTTAAATGCCTGACAGGATGGCTCTCATCTACCCTTCCAGCCTTATTATATCACTCCACTTCATATATTTTCTGTTCCTGACAAACCGCCCTGCTGGTTCTTTATTGAATGCACTATTCTACCTCTTTCCACTTTATCTTTGTACAAATGGTTCTCCCATGGAATTCATTCTCTCCTCATCTCTGCCTCACCATCTTTAGAGCTTCTTTCAAAGCACATTGCAGTAAGTGATGCCCCAGTTACTAGTCTGTTATTCTTCTTGAAATTTCTCTATATTACTTTATATGTATTTCTAATGACTTATCAGTGTGTGTGCTTTATTTCTTCAGTAGAGTGAAAGATGCTTGAGGGCACAGACTAGCTTTTCGTCTTTCTATTCTCAGTGACAAGCACAGTGCTTTGAACATAGTAGGTCCTTAATAAATGTTGAATTGAACTGAGGGCAACTCTTGAAAAGAAATTATTTAAAACTCTTCCTGGGATTTCTACACATTAAATGAGCATATGCCACTATAAAAGTCAGAGTTGCCCTTTTATTGTTTGGTGACCAAGAACCATATCTTGACTAAATGTAATTAAATCCAGATGGTAAAGTTTTTCCTTTTCTTGTTCCACAGCTCATTAGTTGCTTTGTTCTTGTGTTACAAAACTGCTCTAACGGGTTTAATCAGAACGATAGTTTAATCGCAGCCCGAGCAATTCTTTCTTTGCAGATAAATGATTGACCAGTTATAAGTTTGAAAGTTTCTGCCTTTTTGTTTGCAGATGGATTATTTATCCAGAAAAACAAGTACATGGCAATCCTGTGACTGCGCTGCTGAGACAGATTCCCCTCGAACCTGTGAGCTGAAGCTCTTACGGGCTAGACGAGTGTCTTACTATGAAAGCATTGGGATCCTCAAGACTGGTTCTCCTGGAAATGGCAATAAATCAGCACTAAAAGCTTCCCCAAGAGCTGCTTTGGGTTCCAAAACAAACCCCTCAGAAAGTCAGGCTTCCACTTCAAGAAGTCGCCGGCAGTCACCTCACTCTGCAGCCAATGAGGAGGTGAATATATGTCAGCAATTAACCAAAGTGGCTGGTGAAAAAACCACAGATAAAACTAAGGTGGGGAAGCGAGTCCAGCAAGAAGGCAGGAGAAACAGTTGCCCTTCTGAATTAGATCTGTCCCTGCTTGACGATGTACTGGTTCCAGAAACACAGAAACTAAGGCATGTGATGAATTGGGCCCAGAGGTTTCTGACCAAGTGCCATGAAGACCAGGAGCTGGAGAGTCCTGGACAGAATCCACCCTTTGCTTTGTCTCTGCTTGGCCAAAGCAAAAGAGTACAAGATTGTTGTCAAGATGCCTCTGTGAGCTCCTGCCACCCTCCCTCACAGTCCCAAGATGATGGCCTGAGGATGCACACAGATTCTCAAAAAAAATTTAGCTTTTCTTCATTGCCTACAGAAAATTTATCATGTTTTTCTGTGGACCTTTTAAGTTCTTTTGAGGAGAGGAAGTTTCCTGGTAATTGGTCTAGTGGGTGGCAGGAAGCTAGATTTCAGGAGAAAAGGCCCCCAGTCTCACCTCTAGTTGGTTTCAGGCAGCGTACTCTTATTCAACCAACATGTGATAGGCCTGGAAATACATCTTCTCACAATCAAGGTGAGACAGGAGAGAGAGACGATGTTCAGCCACGGCCCAAAGACAGTCGTGAAAGGAGTCTTTTTGAGAAAACCGATGAGGATTGTCATGGAAATGGTTACTTTTGGGCCCCACTAACAGATAGCTCTGAAGATGAATGTACAGATGAAAATGGGGAAAACTGGAGAACTTTTAGAAAAGTTATTCAGCTCAGAGACTCTACAGAGAGTTCAGGAATTTCCCTGTCTCCCAGAAGTCCTTGTACAATGGGCTTGAGGTCCCCAAAGTTGGAAGGCAGTGTTTTCTCCAGATGGGAGGCTGATGTCAGTGAAAAATCCAAAGGAGGAGAAATAACTATTTGGAAACCCAGGGATTTTGTATCCAGGTTTCAGGTTGACAGCCCTTGGGATAAAAATGACTCAATGCTTATCAGCAAATTGTCTGCTGACCAATTTGACTCCCCTGTTGATGACTTCAGGATGAGAAAAGGAGAATCACGCTCTCAGAAGTTAGACTTTGTGGTATCCCTAAGGGACCTCAACTACAGAAGTGGATTGCTACCGGAGTGTGGGGAGGATAAGACTTTTGTTGGTCAAGCAATAAGAGGAAGTCAGGAAGTTAGTATTAAAGGTGGATTTGATGTCAGTAAAAGCAAAACCCAGAAGACAGGCCAAAGACAAATTAATGAGAGGTGCCGGGAGAATGATTCAGTTATTCAAATTTCTAACCCTCAACTGAATTCACTAGGAGATCCCTCAGAAAATGTCACTTCTAAAGTTTGTTCTGACTGTGTGTCAGAATGTGAGCTCACTTCGGGCCTCCATTGTGTCATGTGCCGCAATATAAGGGCTGATCAACAGATCAACAGCAGATCCCCAACAGGGATAGACTGGAAAATTATAGAGACACCCAAAGTGATTGCTAAGGAGATGACTTGGGAAAGTAAGGAAAAGACTGTTTTCTCAAGTTACACTGTCTCCACAGACCTGCCTGAAATCATTTCAGAGGACTCCTTGTCCTGGCAAATAGGTGGTGATGGTAGCTGTAGGATCTCTCGGGATGATGCTCTGCCAGAGAAATCAGAGCAGAAAGCCAGTGTGCTGGAGACATATTTTTTTTACTTGCATCAATTGAACAAGATCAGGGGTTGTAGTTCAGAAGAAGGAAGTTTATCTTTCTCCAGCCACGTCACTGGGCTTTTGGAAAACAATGCCGGCAAAGGGGATCCAGAGAAGAAAGACATAGGTGAAGAAATCAGACCCAATGATGAGAGCGGTGTATTTCAAGCTATTGCTTGCAGAGACATTGATCAACCAGGATGGAAGAATGCACAGCATGATTCTGTTGAAGAAGAAACTCCTGAAAAACACCTCTTTCCAAAGTCTTTGAGCAATCTTATTAAGGAGTCAAAGCTTCGCCCAGAAGGTCTCATAATGAAAGAACTGATTTATGTTTGCTAATTCCAGCACCTATTTTGGTAGACTAAGAATCTTTCAGCTAATTAAAAACAATCTAGAAGATGAGTTTTTTGAGGACAAATACTCTACTATTTCCTCTGTGGAATATATATTTCAACTATTTGTTTTACAATGAGCCTGATGATTCTATTCATTTTGCTACCTAGTAGTTTATATGTAAATCAGCATTTTCATGTGCCTTTCATCTAAAATACATTTTAGTAACTGAGCCCTGGAAAATGGTGCACATCTTCCTAATTCAGAGTGCACTGTAGATTGAAATTGATTAAATCATTTTGGTTTCATAGAAAAAAAAAACCCAACCCAGACTATGTAGTTAAAATCTCTTATAGTGTAGCTAAACAGAATTTGTTCTTTCTTTCTGTGTCTGTCTTTCTTTCTCTCTCTCTTTCTTTCTCTCTCTTTCTCTCTCTCTCTCTTTCTCTCCCTCTCCCTCTCTCTCTCCCTCTCTCTCCTCCCCCTCCCTTCCTCCCTCTTTTTCTCCCTCTCCCCCTCTCCTCCTCTTCCTCTTCCCCTACCCCTTTCCTTCTCTCCCTCTTTCTCCCTCCCTTTCCCTCTCTCCTGCCACTTAAAACTAATTTAAGTACCTTGATGCTTTGAAAGAGGACTATTAATATGTACCTCTGACTTGGGATAAGTAGAATTTCTTAAAAATTACTCTATTAGAAGATACTTGTAAGGTATTTAGACTTTGAGAAACTTGCTTTGAATATTATGTAGCTTCATTAGTTGACCTGGAGATTTCTGTATTCTGCTTGTTTTAAATAGACATAATTTTGGTGCCCTTTGCAAGCTACATACCTGAATCTTAGTAGTAGTGAAAAGTACCCTCAAATCTATTTTTTAATTCTAAATGGGAAAATAATGCAAGAAATAATTAAGATGAATTCATTTGAGTTGATGGGGGAATTAATTACTAGAGTTGTTCACAAATAGGCATTATTAGCAATATTACCATCTGGTAGCTTCCTATTTCTACTAATTCCACTGAGTGAAATTCTGTTATTTCTAGCTGTTGAAGGAGTGCATGTACTATGAACATATGAATGTTATGAATTTTTTAAATTGTGCAATCTTCAAAAATCATAAGTTTAAATTTTGGCAGCCCTTAAATTTTGATGCCCTGGGGAAAAGCCCAGATTACTCCATCCTGATAACTGTTCCTGATTTTTTAAAAGGTCTCTCTCCATCTGCACATTATATAGTTATTTGTATATGAGAATATTTTTACAAATAGATCACAACATTCATATTAAAATGTGCTCTACTAACTAAATCCTCTGACTAATATATCATGGTAGAAGTTGTATATAAGTATTTGAGAAATCAGACTTAAACTGCCTACATCTGTAGAATACAATGCATGGATTTAATGCTGAAAATCATGCATCTTTAACTTTGTGGTGTTTTTGTTTTTTTATTAGAGAGGCCATTTGCTTCCTCCATAAAAATTACCTCCAAAGCAACTGGTTATAAGAACTACTGTGAGAAATCCAGTGTGGCATGGCCTTCTCATAAACGTGGGGAACAGAAATTAAGGTTTGACCGCCCTCTTTCTTTTTTCTGTTATACAATGTTAATTTCAAGCAGTTAAATAGCTGAAATCAACAACTTTCCTTGAGATCAGAGAAGCTAAACTAATAAACTATGAAAATAGTTTGTACTTTTCAGTGAATTGGGATCTTGAAATTCAACAAATTCTAAATTTACAAAGTACTTACTATGTTCAAGGCCTTGTGTTAAGTACCCTGTGGATATGCATATGTGTGTATGTATATACATACATATATATAATATATACACACAGTACATACGTGCACACCCACGCATATACACAGATGCTGAACACATACAGCACATATACATACACGTACATAGTATACTACACACATGCATATACACATGTGTAATGTGCACATATGTAGCTCATGCACATTTATACACATGTGAATGTGTGTGTGCATATACTACATAGATTATACACATATATGTATATGCCTATATACTGTATACATTATGCAAGGCACATATATGTGTATGGGTATGTATATGTGTGTATATATGAATGCATATGGATACTGTATACATGATACAGTAAAGGGATATGGTCCCTTTCCTCTAGGAACTTACATTTTCATTAGTGGGAATGTGACATGTAAACAAGTAAATATAATAGAAGCTAGAATGTGATATGAGAGGCAGCCATGGTGTCGGGGACAGAGGGCTGGCCTTTTAGTCAGCAAGACCTGGGTTTAAGTCCCATCTCTCCCACTCTCTTGACTGATCCTCCCTGGGACCTGGTGTTGTTAAAACAAAAATAAAGGTGTCATTCAGACAAAGGTGAGCTCCAAAGACCTGTAAGGAGTATAGAGGAAAGTGAACATTCATGTGGGAGGGAGCTGAGGAGGCTTTGTGGAATACCACAGATTTAGAGATGGTAGGGACTTTAGAGGCCACTCAGTCTACACTTCTTATTTTACAGGTGAGGAAACTGAGGTACAAAGAGGTTGAGTGACTTGCCCAGGGCCGTGTAGCTAGCAAATGACTGACACAGGATTTGCATCTAGGTCTCCCTTGCTCCACGTCCAGCACTCTATCGACTACATCATGATGACCTTGGAAAGAAGTGCAAGATTCTGAAAGGCAGCGATGAGGAAGGCGTGCCTTCGGGCGCAGGAAACAGACTGGACAAATTCACAGAGATAGACCACTAGTACAGTGGGGTTAGCATGTAGAAGAGAGTATAATGAAGCAAAGTGGAAAGACATGTTGGAGGCTATATGTGGGGGACTTTACATGTTAGCCTGAAGAACTTCTACTTTATCCCATAGGCAATAGAAAGCCATTGAAGATTTTTGAGGAGGGCAGTCATGTGTCCAGACTCATGCCTTAGGAAGATTATTTTCCCACCTTTGTAGTGGAGTATTAGAGAAATGAGAGCCTGGAGGCTGGCAGATCCCAAGACGGAAGTTACTGTTATTTCCAAATCTAAACCAATGATCCATACCCATCATAGCTGGGAGAACGACCCTTCATTCACCGCAAGGACTGATTTAACTAAGAGCTTCTATAGCCTAATTAAGCACAGCCCAAATCTGGCAATGGTGAACTTTGTTTTAGAGTTGCCAGGAGGGTCCTTTTATCTCCTCACCTTCTTGAGAATTCCCATTACCTTCCAAATCCTCATTAATTCAAGTCCAAAGAGCACTATATTTCTAAAGGATGATGGTTTAAGCCTGCCACTTTAAAAATACGTCATGATGTGATTTGTCCTTGGTTTGGAAGGTGTTATTTGTTACAATAAGTAAGTGCTCTTTATACAGAAATATCCAGATCTGCTTCCTAGTCTTGTTTCACATTCACTCCGTTACATGCTAGAGCAAATCTAAAGTCTGATGCCTGCCTTTCAAGGCCCGCTCTTGCTAATCCTACTAAATTCAGTTAACCTTAAAGTGCTCTATAAATGCTAGTTATGATGATAATGATGCTTTTTTTGTGGGGGTAGTTCAGAGGCTGAGTTTAGGATTGTATTCTGGAGGGTTGAGATGTCTGGAATTCTGACCTTGAGATAAGTGTAGTGTTACTATAATACTAAGAGCTCATGTTTATATGGTATTTTACAGTTTACAAAGAATTTTATGTAACTTTCTCATTTGTTCCTCACAATAATGCTGTGAGATGGATGTTAATGTTATCCTCATATTTTGAGCAAGGAGACTTTTGAGACTCAGATAAAATAATTTTCCTAGGATCACACTGCTAGTAAGGGTCTGAGTCAGGATTCAAACTCGGGGGTTCTTGACTCTAAGTCCAATGCTGACGCATGGCATGCTGCCTTTATACGCATGCAGGTGCCTCTAAAAAGCACATGCATGGCTTTGCTTTTAATTATCCAAAACTATTAAACAGGGTTCTTGATAAATAGAATTGATAAAAACCCAGACCAAGCATGAAATTACATTAAGTAATTTTATCTATCTCTATGCTAACTAGGGCTAAATCCTTAGGTGGTAGCTAATTTGTTGTCAGGGATGCAGAAGTAGAGAAAAAGAGTCCTTAAAATTGACACTAACACATGATGTACTCTTGGCCTGTGTAATTGACGTGTGTGCATGTGTGGCTTTTTTTTTTAACCTTTCCCTTTTATTTCTAGTTTGCTAAATGTTGAAGCAAGAGCTCATGGCTGGAATTTTTGGCCCCCAGAGATGGATCGGTGTTTGAGACATTGTTATATGATGAAAGCTTTTCTTTTCCTCATAAATGCTAAGATTCCGTCGTTTTCTGCTCTAGCTCTAGGAGGGGATAAGACAGTGCAAAATGATTATAGGAAAAATGATAGGAAAACACCGTTATGGTGGTCTAGTGGGTAGAGTGCTGGACCTACAGTCAGAAGTCCTGAGTTCAAATGCTGGCTTCACCATTTGCTACTTGCATGATCTTAGGAAAGTCTGGGCTTCACTTTTCTCATTTGTAAAATCAGGTTAAGCTAGGTAACCTCTAAAGATTTTTCATAGATTCTAAAAATCTATGATTGGGTAGATTCTGACTACTAAGAAATCATGATAAGGTCACAGATTTAGAGATGGAGGGGGCCTTAGAGATAATCTAGTCCAACTGCCTCATTTTACAGATGAATACACTGAGGTTTAGAGAGATTAAGTTAAGTGATTTTACTAAGGTCACATAACTGCTAGAATAACAGAGTCAAGTCCCTTGGGTAAATTACTGTTCAACTATGTAGTAACCTCCTATAAGGCATCAAATTTTAAAATTTGTATTTGCATTTTAAAAGAAGTTAAAATCTTTTGACAGTCCTCTGTATGTGCTAATGAATAAATATAATTTAGTGGAAAGTATACTTATTCATTAGGAATAAGTAGACCTGGGGACTAATTCCAGCTGTAACTTGCTTTGTGACCTGGGTAGGGCTCTTAATCTCTTTAGGTAGGCCTTTGTGCATTCATATGCAAAAAAATAAACTAGATAATCCTAATATTAATAATAACAATAATAGAGACTCCTATTTTATGTTTTCCAAACACTTTCTTCACAACAAGCCTAGGAGATGAGTTATACAGGTGTTATTTTGCCCATTTTATATCTTAAAAAATTGAGGAAACCTCAACCTGAGATTTCTGATTCTGAGGCCCGTGTTCATTCCATGGTGCCACTAAGTGATGACCTTTTTTCACCTCCCACATTCTAGCCTTTAGATTTTAGCTTTTGTATTTAAAGAATATCTCTCTCTCTCTCTCTCCATGTATACTACATATGTAATATATATATATATACACACAATGCATGTATATAATACATTTGCAAATGCTGTTCTTCCTCAGAAGGCATGTGTAATTTATGTAAGCACTATTAATAGAAGGGAATAAGTATTTATATACTGCCTATAATGGACGAGGCACTGTGTTAAATACTTTACAAATATGATCTCATTTGATCTTCACAACAACTCTGTGAGGTTATTATTCCCATCTTATAGTTCAAGACACCGAGACAAACAGATTGAGTGATTTGCTCAGGGTCACACAGCTGGTAAGTGTCTGAGGTCTGTTTTGAACTCAGGTCTTCCTGACTCCAGGTCATGTGCTCCATCCACTGCACCACCTAGTTGCCATGTCTTCTCTAAACTTATCTCCTCTGGCACTATAACAATGTGTTGAATACAGTAGGAACTTAATAAGTGGTTGTTGAATTGAATTGAGTAGCTTTGCTATGCTCAACTAAGCTTACAATTCTGAAATGTTATCTGCTTGATGGTACACAATATGAAAGAAATCATTAGCAAGAACAACACATTTTCCTCTATTCCTGAAAGCAACAGGTAAATGTGTGCTACCTTTAAAAACCTGAGAATCATTAAGTTTTCTGAACCCCAGAGAGGTGTGTGTGTGTGTGTGTGTGTGTGTGTGTGTAAGTAAGCAAGTCTATGTAAGCAAACCTATAGCAATGGCCCATGCAGATATAGTCAAGCTATGTTTATTCTGCTTGTACCTAGAGGCACAAGATTTATTGTCATGCCAGGGTAGAACCTATAAACCATTGTGTGAATTGGCCAGTTTCATCAACATTGTAAAATTGTTCAAGGGATAGATTGTGTTTAGAAATGGCTTCTCTGAAAAAGGTACAAAATGGTCATGTACTTTCATGGTTATTTTTTTTTCTCCTATCCATATTCAGTCAGTCAATAAACATTTATTACTTGACTACTATGGGTGAGGCACTGTGCTAAGTGTTGGGGGATACAAAGAAGGCAAAAAGACAGTCTTTGCACCCTAAAGGAGCTCACAATCTAATATGGGAAGACAAATTAAAAGGAGGTGAAAATGAAGAAGTCCTCAAATGGGGGCATGATAAACATCTTGAAGTCCTGAAGCTGGGTTGGAAATGATGAGTTGGCTGTTTGAAGCCTCCTCCTTAAGTGGCGGATCTGGGAGGAAGTACTCCACCTTCTCCAATGACAGCAAGGGAGGAGCCTCAGGGGAAGGCTGGGGAGGTACTGAGGAGATTTGAGTTTGAAAGTTGATGTCATCTTGCAGAAAGATGAGTTTCTAGAGGCAGTAATGAAGTCCAGGACAACAATGAGGTGAGAAGTGATGAGATGGCCACCTTAAGAGGAGGATCTGGGAGGAGGTCTCTGATGTCCACCACTCTACCCTCTCCAGTTGGAGGGAGGGAAGGGCCCCAGGGGCAGGTGGTAGTAATGAGATGTGAGTTTCAGAGGTGATGTGATCTTACTGGAAGATGAGTTTCAGGAGACAATGAGCAACCAGGTGGGAAATGATATGAATCTTACAAATTAAACCTTAATTTGAAATGCTGATGTCCCCCTTCTAAACTTGGCTCAAAGTGTGATATAGGAGAAAGAATGCTAGACTTGGAGTCAGGAGGACCTCAGTTGGAATTACATCTTAGATACTTAATAGCTATGTGTTGTTATAGTTTGTCCTTCATTATCTAAGAGGACCAATGACATCAGGAGGGTGATGTCTGAACTCTCAAGTGAATTGGATTTAAGTGAGGTAGAGCTGTGTGAAGTCATCAGCTTTACTTTCTCCTCCAAAGTAGTCAGTCCAGTAGCAAGACATAGGTCAAGACAACTGGCGATGGTCCCAAATAACTGTGTCACTTTGGGCTAGTCACTCATCAGCCTCTAAGGTCTTTTCCAAACTCTAAAGCTGTGATTTTATGGAATGCATTTGCCTGTAGCAATGTTAATCCTTTGCAGTTGCTATCTATTCTTTGAGAACCACACATAGAATGTGCCATGATGGAATCTCAGAGTTAGAAGGGACACCAGGGGCTATCTATGCTTGAGAAAGAATCCTCTCTGTAACATCCCTGACAAGTGGGCATCTAGCCTTTGCTTCCTTCCGGTGATGAGAAATCCATTTCAACAACTGCTACAATCTCTACAGTCGCTTCTCCTCTTCATGGATGTTCTGAGCGAATAATATTTTAGATCTGGAAGGGCTCTTAGAGGTCATCTGGTCTAGGGCCCTCAACTTTACAGATGGCAAAACCAAGGCTATTAGGTAAAGGAACTTCCCCAGGACAAAAACAAACAAAACAACAACAAAACAAATTAATGGAAGAGTTGGGATTAAATTCAAAGTCTTTGCCTCTCAGAACAAAGGGAAATGATCACTCTTACGATCCACTTAAAATTTTTTTAGACTGCAGCATATGTTGACTTCTTATAATTCTGTTTCTTACCCATTGCTATCCATTACTCTGCCACTTTGTGCACATGTGTCTTTCATTCTTTGTCATCACACTGTATGGGACTACTAAAATGTCCAGTAGTTTTTGTCATTGCAAGAGGTCTGATTTGAATGTTGTGCTAAATATGGAAGAAAATGTCTACATATAATTGGGCTCAGGATATCTGAGCTCTTCACTGTGAGAACTCAATGCCAACTGAAAGGGAAAAGTATATTTGTGGGCAAATGCAGTTGACAGGGCCATGAGGAGTGATTGGCATTTCAAAGTAAGGTACGGCTTTAGAAGGTTAGTATGGCCAGTAAAGAAAAAGTCACCATATCATGTTGTGCATTAGGTGTTAACTGCAATTTTGCATAGGTTTACTGAAGTTTTCCTGCTTCAGTTTTCTCCAAATCCACCTTAGATTTTGTGGGGGACTCCTATGATATATTATGGCCTCAAATGATACTGAATCTGAGGGTCTCATTCTAGCCTCTGGTAAAGGAGCCACATTGGGCTGTGTTCCTCTCTCCTCTCTTTCCCCCTCCCCCATAAGAAATATGCCTACAATGTACATCTATAGTTCATATATTCATACATATGTACATACACTGTCATATGTGGTGTATGGATGCAGATGCCTACATATACACATATAGATGGATAGATCTAAATTTTATCTAAAATGTATATCCCTCAAAGTAGATCTGTGACATAGAAATAAAGTTAAATATTGTATCTTCCTAGAGCCTGACTTCAAATCCATTTCAAAAATCTGAAGTTTTTCTTGTAAACCAAAATGTACGTAACACCATACACACACACACACACACACACACACACACACACCTACGCATGCATAATAGATTTTCAGCCTTCTAATCCTCCAATATGGAATTTAATTTGTTTCATGGCACCAAACATATTTAGATTTTTTTTTTGGTGAGGCAATCGGGGTTAAATGACTTGCCCAGGATCACACAGCTAGTAAGTGTGAAGTACCTGAGGCCAGATTTGAACTTAGGTCTTCCTGACTCCAAGGCTGGAGCTCTATCTACTGAGCCACCTAGCTGCCCCCATGTTTACCTTTTGAAAGCTCATTAGTTCCTGCCTACTCTGTGGAACATGTGTGTAATAGCCTTATAATAATAATTAATAATAAACTTAATTTAGGATGGAAGCCCATAACAGCTTACAAGAGTCATTTGATTTTAATAATCCCTTTTAGTGACCCTTTTTTGTATACGAGATTGTTTTTTCTAATCAGCCCTCTTTATTCCTTTTTACTTACGAAAATAGTCAATTTTGCATGGTTTTGTAGCAACCTTTTTTTTTTTTTAACTCTACAGAGGTCATCCTAGGCATGTTTTGGTATCTTCCTTCTGTAAGAATTACTGTTCTTCAGTTGTTTATAACATGGTTGATTTGGATGACTGTGACAGTGGTGAGCTTCTAACCCAAACTCTCACAATTTCTGCATATTTAAGGAACTGAAAGACCTGTAACACATATAAGTGAAATGTGTCCTCTTTGTATATGGTTGTTATGTGGAATGACATGCTGTGATGATAAACTGGCACTATCCAGTTTATCAATAGCATGCCCATGGAATGCTATTCCTATTTAACAGGACATGTTTGGGGGCTAAGGTGATGAGATTGTGTTAAATACTAACAAGGAAAGTTGAGGTTATTGATCATTATCATCAGAATAGCTGTGGCTGTCTGAGGTGTTAGTATTTATTTTCTTGTGGTACTACCAGACACAGTCAGTTAAATAAACACAGGCTCCATGTTTATTTCCCCCAAAGGGTGAACTGCGGCACACTCATTAGGTAGGCCACAAATTGTCTGGAGTATACACTTAGAACAGCACCTACATGTACGAGTCTCCTGGCTGAAGGGCGATGACTTTTTAACTTCAGCAAGTTTTGAGAGCTACCCCCTGTTTCAGGGCTCTGTTTAAGAACCACAACTTCAACTGCTTTTCCTGCAATCTCCTTGAAGGCAGAGGCTGTTTTCATGATTTTGTATACCCACTGCCTGGTACAGTACCTGGTCCACACTATGCATTTAATTAATGCTTGTTGATTGATTTAGCTTCTAAATTACCTGCATCAGTAGAAGGAATACTCACACCAATTAAATTGCAGCTTGCTAAATACAGGTCACTGAAAGGATAAGAAAATAACCTGAAGTAGTGGAAAGATCACTGGGCTTGTACTCAAAAGACCTCGGTGTGGATTCTGAGTAACTCTACACTTGTTATATGTATAACTATGGACAAGTACTTCGGTATCCTTATCTGTAAAAATGAATGGGTTGGATTAGGGAATTCTCAGTTCTAAATCTCTCGACTATATAAGAATGTCTTAAGGAGGCCGCTGGTAGCTACCCTAAGCTCAGGTGTTGCTATGATGTAAAGAACTCAATCAGACATAAGCAATGGAGTATAAAAGAGGGTTTACCTAGCTTGTAAAGACACAATTGTCATACTCAGGGCAAGAATATATTCTAATAATTCTCATTTTGGTTGAGCAATACCTATTCCTTTGTCTCCTTTCCTTTCAAAATGGTACCAATACCAGGTGGGAGACTCACTCACAAGGTCTGAAGAGGCTCTGAGGCCCTAACACTAAGGATTTTTATCTCTCTGTGAAACTTCGAGGCACTAAGTTACCAGTATAAAACCTTCCATTTTGTGTGAAACAAAGAAAACTTTGTGCTCAAAGCCTAGAGTCAGGGTCTACTTGACAAGGAGCATCCTCTAATTCCCACCACGATGTAATCCTATTGGGTCCACAGGGCCTGTTCCCTCCGTTGTAAAGTGCATAGGCCTGGCCATGGCCACAGTCACTCAATACAGTTAACAGAAACAGCTCAATAATTCAGTGAGAAGTAATGCCTTTGGACAATTCTCCAACCAGCACATCATACTATTAAGTTGTTGTTCTGTATAACATTCTTTTTTACTAGCTGATGCGCAAATAAAAGAGTGATGGAGATATTAATCCTGAGGTATTTTCTGTGTTCCTATTGCTCTCTAGATCACAAAACATGTCACGACCAAGTTCAGCCAAGGCAGAAAAGAGAAAAAGCACCGACAGCTCTCACAGCATTTGTCCATCTGGTAGGTGGCCAACTAACCAGCGGGCCAAATGCTCAAATGCATTTGGCCAGAGGAATTGCAGAGAGAAGAGTTGTTTATGCCTGAGTAATAATTCTAAAATGAAGAATCAATAGACCAGAGGTCCTTGGCCTCTTTTTGTGTCACAGACCCCTTTGGCAGTCTGGTGAAGTTTGTGATCCCTCCTCAGCATAATGTCTTTAAATGCACAAAATAAAACACATAGAACTACAAAGGAAATCAATTACATTGAAATACAATTATACATTAAAAAAACAAGTTCATGAACCCCAGATAAAGACCTCTGGCAAAAGAATAAAGAATTAGAACAGGGTATGTAGGTCCAATATAGGTCCAAGATGGACAAACTACTAATGTTTGTTTGTTTGTTTTTACCTTTCTCAGATAAGTACTTTCAAGTTACCTCTTTACAAAACCTCCTCACCGTTCTGTCCCTACTCATACTACTCAGCTTTATCCTAGAAACCTTGCTGATGGTTATTGGCATTGTTGATCTGTTAATATTACACTAATATTCCTTTTTTGTCTTAAATGATCAGATACGCAATGGGTATAAAAGAGGATCTACTTAACTTGTAAAGATATGGTGGTTATCCTCAGGTTAGAGATACATAATAATCCTGGTTACCTACATTGTAAATATAGAGTTGTCATGCTCAGATAAATTCTAAAACTCCAAAGGTTACATTCTAATAAACCAGAGAAAGTTATGATAGGATTGGACATTACGGCTTGTTAGAGGTTGGGTGTAGGAGATGACATGTGCATTTTTGTCAAATCTCACCAAGACTTTGTCTTAAAATTATCTTTTTTTGTGTTCTCTAGTATACACAATAGGGCAGCTAGATGACACAGTGGATAGGGTGCAGGCCTTGGGGTTAGGAGGATCTAAGTTCGCCTCAGATATTTACTAGCTGAGTGACTCTGGGCAAGTCACTTTGCCTCAGTTTCTCATCTGTAAAATGAGCTGGAGAAGGAAATGGCAAGCCACTCCAGTATCTTTGCCAAGAAAACCCTAATTGGGTCATGAAGAGTTGTACACAACTGAAACAACTTAACAACAAAATGTATACATCCATAAAATTGTGCATCCCCTGATCATAGGATCATCTGTAGTTCTCTGACTTCAAAGTCCAGTGCTCTTTCCCTTTCACTAGTCTCCTTTCTTATCTTTTCAGTGAGCTAAATTTCAGCTTCCTGTAGTTTAGTCATTGTGGGCATTCCATCCATTGATGCAGATACCTTAGATCAGTTAGTCAACAGGCATTTATTAAATTCCTTGTATTTACTGAGAGGCTGGTATGCTGTAGTAATAGATAAAGAAGGGTATTCTTGAAACCAGGAAGGTCTTGGTTCAAGTCTTGATTCTAACACATATTAGCTAGATGGTCCTGGCTATGTCAGTTAGAGAGCTCTTAGCTCCAGACAGCTGTCTGAGATCATCAATTATAGAGAAGATACTAACCTGGATTATTAGGGGAAGTTTCAGGAGTTCCCTATATCAATAAAATCAAAAGTTCAGTCCCTCTCCCTATCCTACTATGTATCATACACCATATTAGGTATTAGGAATACAAGGAAAAGAATGAAAACAGTTCCTGCCCTCAAGGAGCTTATGCTCTAACTGGAGGAGGGAACACAAAGACTTGGAGATGGAAGGGAATTTTATTATGCTATCATTATCTCCGTTTTCCAGATGAGGAAACTTAAGTTGAGCTTAAGTGACTTCTCTAGGGTCACACAAGCTAGCAAATGTCTGGGGCAGAAGTTGAACTTGGGTCGTCTTTACTCTTAGTCCAACATTCAGCCTTATCAAGTCATAAGCTTCTAGAAGTCAGGGGCTTCTTGAAATGCTTTCTTTGACCTCGATCGAAGACAGCAGTTACCTTTGTTGATCAGTCATGATTAACATATGTTGCTTCTTTGTATAATGATTTTTTTTATTTGTTAGGAGGCATTTATTACTGTTGGTGAAAAACTCAGTGAATTATCCTCAGATGAGTATGTCTGCAGGTGCTTTTTGACTACTGAGCCACTCTGAAGATTGGTTTGCATGTCTTGTGGTATGGAGGAAAAAAAACCCAACCATGGAAATATTATTTTCAGTGAGTAGCAACTAGTAGAACATATATGGTAGGTGGAGAAAGGCAATACACACCATAAATTGCTTTGACTTAAGGAATGTGTGTTAGTTTATAGGGAATTAGAAAAATGTCCCTTACTATCAAGTTACACTAAGCAGAGGGGCCCAACAATATTCTTGGGTCCTAAAGTTTATTAGGGCCGTGGGCCCATCCTTGATAGGCCTTTGTTGAAAATGGCAAGTCAGTTTAGGAAAAAGTATCTTGTGCTGTGGCAAAGACTAATTAAAACCCCGACACATAGCTGCTCCTTTCCCAGCTTTTCTCACTGCCCTGACCACCTCCACAGAAGTAGGAATGTACTCTCCATGTCTAGAGAACCCCTTGAAGTACCTTGTGTCCTGACCATTTTCCCATCTACCTTGGTATTATTGAATAACATATTGGGTGACTTGGGAATGATCTATTTCTTTAGGGCCCTTTTGGAAAAAAAAATCTATCTCTATATACAAACCATCCTTGATGTGTTGATGATTTTATCCCATTCTTTAAATGTTATAGTTTAGTTAGGGACTTCAAGGAAGAGGTACCTACTCGCACTCAGAGGAAGCTTAGCTAGTTATGTTTATTGGTGTTAAAACAAAGAATACAAGGGAATGTGCCAGACTGTGACATATCCATGAGTTCACCCTGTCACAAATCTGGGAAATACAACAGCTTAAGTGAAGTTCAACCCCAGGCATGTATAGAATATAGGCTTCATATGCCGTCACATTGGGCCCACACTCTTTGCACACTTGTAGATCCAATCAGGTGTTGGTCAACTCTGCCAAAACTGCAGATTGAATTAAATTGCCCAAGAACACTGGAGTTTACACAATTTTATGCTTAAGAATAAACAGAGATTTGGGGCCATTTTTAGATGTGCCAGTTTCACAGGTACCTTTGAATGTAATCAGGAATAAGCTGAAAAGGTCCATACAGGTTGGTACAATTCCTTTGATGCTCATTGGTTATGCCTGTGGATTCATCAGTCATTCTGGTTATTTTCATCTGTGTGACTCCCCTTCTCCCTCTATGACAAAGAGTTCTATTCTGATTGGATTGCTTCAACAATGCACATTTAGTTTTATCTGGAAAGGTTAATGATCAGGGGATTCTGGCATATCAAATAGTCTGGTCAACTCAGAGTTACTATAGGGAGGCAACATGGCACAATAATTACTAGAACTATGACTCACACGCTTAAAGATTTGCAGGTATTTTACACTTATGATCTTACTTAATCCTCACAACAATCCTGACAAAATTACTACCACAATCCCCATTTTATAAACATGGAAAGCAAAGCTTAGAGAGGGTAAGTGGCTTGCCCAGCGTTACATAGTTCATGTGTTTGAGTCTAGATTCAAATCCAGGTTTTCCTGACTCCAAGTCCTCTTTTGGGCTGGAAGTCAAGAGAGCTGGGCCTCTGACTAGCTGTGTGACATTGGAGAAATCATGTCTCCACTTTGAGCTTCATTTTTCTTATTGGTAAAAGTAGGAATTTGGGATTGGTCATCTCTAAAGGTCTTTCTGGTGCAGATATTCTGTTGACAACACAGGGATTACAGTTATCAAAGAAGTGGAATAGAATACAATAAAGTTTGTCACTAAACTTTTAAGTGAGCATAACTTAATCTTTCCTGAATGACTCAGAAGTCTGCTGGAAGGATGCACCATAGTTAATAAGAACTATGTAGAATGTTGTATCTGTAAAAGATTATTCTGTACAACGGACCATAGAGATAATATAACTTCTTTTTTATTGCTTTTTATTGCTGAGAAAAAATGAGGCCTAGAGAGGAGAAATGACATTATCCAAGGATCAGGATTTGAATTTAGGTCTTTTAACTCCAAACCTGGTATACTTTTCATCAGATCAATAAATCAAGCCAAATCAAAAACACATATACATTTCTAGATTTCATAATACATTCTAGCATCTTTAAGTAGTAAAAAAAATCCTAGCTTAGAGATGCAAACACAATTATCAAAATTGTATTTTGTCTTATTTTTGTGTGTCAAAAAACCCTGAAGTCAACAAATCTTTTTGCTTTGGGAATGGGAGGGGGTATTGTGGAACCTTATTTTGAAATTTAGGTCTTCTTTCAAAAGGAAACACCACTGTCCTGTGTAGTTTTACAGTATCATCAAAGACCATATTTAAAAATCATGTTGCATTTTTGAAATGATATGCATAAATCAACCTTACAAAGGCTAATAGAATCCTAATTAGCTGAGTATTGAAGATCAGAAAGCTTGTTATGCTTCACTTTATAAATGACTATGTTAATTATTAAGTAATGGTCATTGTCATCATCAGAATGTTCATTCATTATTGCATGGCACGTGCCGGGCACTGTTGGCCAAGGCAAGTTCAGCAGGTACGGTCACTGCTTTCCATGAGGTTTTGTCCTAAAACAAATAATAACTTACACAAATACCAAGTAGCGCACACACCCCTGCCCATATTTTGACCAACACTGAACCACTGAAACAATTACTTACAGACATTAGTGCAAAGAGTTTACTTTATTCTTTGGGGGAGATGGAAGGATTGCTTATGGCCCTTAGCCCCGTGATGTGGGGAGGTGGGCAGTGTATGAGCTGGGGCTTTGTGAGTGATTAACAAACAGAGAATGTCAACAAAGTCATTCTTTATAGTGGTCTAAACACAATGTTCATAGGTTCCAGAGATCAAAGAGAACCTAATAGGTCAAAAATCTTAGCGAGAAATCCATGAAGTAACAGCTCCAGTAGGCTGGGCAGCAAGATCTGCTTCGAGTTTAGAAAGAACAGGTCCAAAGCCATGGGGTATACCCAGAACCCAGGCAGGAAAACAACATTTGGGAAGGGGTA